GGTTTCCGAAAAGGCTTTAGTACCATAGACCACATCCATACGCTGCGGCAGATTATACAGAAGACCGAAGAGTATAATCGGCCACTTTGCTTAGCGTTTGTGGACTATGAGAAGGCCTTCGATTCGATCGAGACCTGGGCGGTGCTGCAGTCTCTCCAGAGGTGCCAAGTGGACTACAGGTATATCGAAGTGTTAAAGTACCTATACCAAAACGCCAATATGTCGGTCCGAGTACAGAATCAGAGCTCTAATCCTATCCAACTACAGCGAGGGGTGAGACAGGGAGACGTTATATCTCCGAAACTGTTCACTGCTGCGATGGAGGATATTTTTAAGCTTCTGGACTGGAAAGGACTCGGCATTAACATCAACGGCGAGTACCTGACACACCTTCGATTTGCCGATGACGTAGTCCTAATGGCGGAGACCTTGGAAGACCTGAACACCATGCTCGAGCATCTCAGTGACGCATCCCAGCGAGTGGGTCTTAAGATGAACATGGACAAGACTAAAATCATCATGTCCAACGCCCATGTTGCACCCGCTCCAGTTAATGTTGGGAACGTTACACTTGAAGTTGTTGACCACTACGTTTACCTAGGACACACAATCCAGTTAGGTAAGTCCAACTTCGAGAAAGAGATCTCTCGTCGAATCCAACTCGGATGGGCAGCGTTCGGGAAGCTGCGGAACATCTTCGCGTCCAAAATACCTCAATGCCTTAAGACGAAAGTCTTTAACCAGTGTGTGTTGCCAGTGATGACCTATGGCAGTGAGGCGTGGTCGTTTACTATGGGTCTCATAGGACGGCTCAAGGTCGCCCAGCGGGCAATGGAGAGAGCTATGCTTGATGTTTCCCTGCGTGATCGAGTCAGAAATGACGAGATCCGTAGGAGAACTAAAGTCACCGACATAGCTCGAAGAATAGCCCAGCTGAAGTGGCAGTGGGCGGGACACATAGCGAGGAGAACCGATGGCCGTTGGGGCGGAAAGGTTCTCGAATGGCGACCGCGTGCCGGACGACGCTCAGTGGGAAGACCCGCTACAAGGTGGACCGACGATCTGGTGAAGGTCGCGGGAAAACGCTGGATGCGGGCAGCGCAGGACCGATCGTTGTGGAGATCCTTGGGGGAGGCCTATGTCCAGCAGTGGGCGTCATACGGCTGATATGATGATGATGATGATTTTATGGATGACCCATAAAACTGTATTGTTCACATTCAATCAGAACTATATACATACTTGTATTCCCAGTGTAAGGTTTCTCAGCTATAAAAATATCAAGTTCACACTTATTAATAAAATAAATATTTGCGACACATTATACCAACTGAACAAGCCTAGTACCAAATTAAGCACTGTGAGCTTGTGTTCTGGAAAATAAAGTAACGGAGATAAAATATATATATGTTAAAAAACATACATATAATGAAACTTAGATAAGTATTTTTTATAAAGAAATATAATATATTATATAAAAGCAACCAAGATTAAGGTACAAATGGTCCTATTAATCATACAAACATTAGCAACATCTGTATTCGAACCCGTTACCTCTGAGTAGGCCCGCATTTTGGGTCGATCATCAAGTTAAGTGACAAGAAGCGAGTTTATGTAAATAATAACTCGAGCAAACCGGAAAGATATTCTTACTAATTAATTACCTTTCTCGCCTCATTAATGTACTATAGATAGTTCATTGTTCCTCGGCTTGTCTTATATGACAGGGAGATTAATTGGGACTTGTAACCGTTCTATTCTCACAGGAATACCCGAATAACAATGAATCTTTTATGGCACTCGAAGAGCTTTTGTATTGACAGCAAGTTGACAGCGTCGGAATTATGAAGCCATTCTGTGTTCTATTGTGATAATATCGAATGTTTTTTTTCCCTTTATGTGAAGCGTTTCAATTTCTATTTGTGCTTGTTACCGAGTGAAATATCGATGATGTTATTAAGATTCTAATTTGAGGAATGAGAGATACGTATTCCGTTTTTTTATGTTTAAGGTGACCAATCAACTCCTCTGGTACCCTACTACCACTGGAGATGATGGTTGCCCGCCTGGTTAGTTACCACTATGCGCATTGTGAAAAACTCATGAAGTGTTTCGGGGTCAGCCAGCGTACAACTAGAGCTCGAGTGGGCGTTTGCGCGATATGTTTGGTCTAGGGGAGGCATCCGTCGATCCGATGCCGGGAGAACTTCATTGACTGGCCTGGGAGACACGTAGAAACGGCTGTCCCGCTGGCCGGGCAGTAGCAGACATATAAATGGCACACTCTGTAGGGCCCGAGCATTCCTTACTAGTTCACGAGACTGCCTTATCATGCCAAGCATAATCCTGGGGTGGACCGTCATGCCGGTTGGCGACCGGGGCGTGGGGTCCCGGCGACCACTCCCCGGGTGGATGCAGGAGCCCATCCGGTTTCAGTTCATAATAATTGATGCACCGGCTATCTTCGCGTTTGGACTTTACCACCACTTAACGTCAGGTGGGGTAGATTGATTTACCTACCTGCTAGAAAAAATTGTATGAGTGTTCTTCGCGGTAAAATCATTTGCATAACTAGATATATAAAAAAAGAACGTGTGTTAGGATTGACATTAATTATTAATTTTATAAACACTTCGAAACTTATATAAAGCAATAAAAGCAAATGGAATGGAAATAAAACTGTTCAATAGATTTCAAAATTATTAAATGTTTTAAGTACACTATTTATTGATTATTAAAATTAAAATACCAAATAAAAGTATCAAATCTTTACTCGCTGATAACTAACCTCTTATTTTAATTTTTAAGATTACATAAGTAATTTCTATTGTAAATGTCGGCAAAAGTATATTATTATATTACGACTTGCAATATTAAACAAATATAATTCCGATAAAAGTAGTAAACAACAATATAAAAATGATTACTTAACTCAGAGCTCCGCTCGGTACGATGCATGGCTCGATACAGAATCGCCCCGCAAAGGCTCCCCTTTTAAAGGCGGCGACAAAACAACTAACGTCATCGGGCCGTTCAGAACACGTGTACAAAGATTTCGCTGACTACCCGCAATTTATGAAATATTCTATAAAATTATGTAATTTAGTGCTACAATAGATTTTCACAGTATTTTATATAATACCTACATTACAAAAATCAAGTATGAGTATTGAATCAGCAATAACATCACTGAATCAACCATTATTAAGTGTTCAATAATTATACAGCCATCTCGATGTTTTGTTTTCAGTTTCTTTATGACCTTATGTGTTTATTATCTAATAAATGCGAGTGTCCTTCGGTCCATTCTTCATAATTCACATCAGTCAGAATTTAAATGGTGACATTTTTTTTGTATTTTATTATTCAGCAAACATATACACACATATATATAGACAGATTCGAATCTCACAGCCTTACTTGCGATTACAAATTTGAAAGTTAGGGTAGTCATTGAATCGGCTTGTAAGTGCTTACTGACACCGAGGGAGGGCACAGCGGATTTTCCAATCGAATTGGAGCGCCCATCTGGGGAAGCAACCTCCACCTTACAAACCATAGTAAACTAACACAAACTTTTGGTGATGTTGTGCTTCTGCTGGTGAGCAGGGTTCTAGAGTTTCGTGGGGAAGGGGATTGGGGCCGGCATGGTGAGGATGACTGGTGCGGCACACTTTCTGCCGCATCATCTATCCTCGTCACAGGACTCCACTTACACTTTTCTTCAGGTGGGTTGGGGTAATTTGTTGCAGAAAATATAAAAAATGATCATTAATTATCTTTTTTTAAGCTTGTAATTGCTTGATGTTTAAATCTAAAGAAAATGTAACTAGAAAAAAAAATATAACTATAAAATGCTATTCTTCTTTGAAATTTTTAATACTTGTAAAAGTATTCATTTGACATTGTGGGTTACCTACAATGCGAAGAGATGGCGCTGCCTTGCAGCTTAAGAATAGCTTACGTTAAGTGGAATTTTTTCTCGTTACATTTTCTTTAAATGATCATTTGTTACACTAAGTAAATTAAATACTCATATGTTGCCGGCACCACAGATTTAAGATAGATTTATTGGATATAAAAATAAAATTCAATAAGCAAATAAAAGGATTTTTATTAGCGTAGCGTAACAATCATTTTTAGTCGCATTATACCTACGTTCAATGTTCAAATTAGAATTTTATGGTTCAATTACACTTGGTCGTTAGCCCGTATTCGGGTGCACGGAAGACATTACTCGAATTCGAGCACCCGAAGCAATATTTACACTGGAATTCGAGCTGGAAAATGGTGTCGGGTAACCAAAACGAAAATTACCCGAATATGGGCGTACTCGACTCCGTTCATTTACACTTAGTCGTTTATCTGAATAAGGTATTTGACAAGTTTTAGAAAACAATCTCACGTTATTGACTAATGTTTATGGAGTCCGTCCGGAGTGGATATTCATCATTCTGTTGTGTATTTCAGTAAAAATAACGAATACAAAAACTTCATTTTCAATTTGCCGCGAGAACGTTTCTCTGGACAATATGGCGTCTTACTAGTGTGTGTCGTCACACGACTGTTGTTAAAACGTCAAACGATACAATGTAATTTCACTTTAACTGGAAGTTTACTTGCGTGTGACGTCATTTTAGGCTCCGCCAATCCCAAGCGTTTTGGGTCACGTGACAATAGATAAGAAAACAATTATATTTTTTGTAGGTTTTTAGTAAAATTATGAATATTTTTTTTGTAAAAATAGTAAAAACCCCTGCGAATATTCATTCTACACACAGATGCTAACAATGGGCACTTTACTTTTAATGCTGTCAAATACCCTATTCCATTGGCACTCGTATTCCAGCTCACGTTAAGTGTAATTAGACTTGATTAATAAGAAATAGATTCTAATTAAGTACAGAGGCTAATTTTGACACGAACCTCATAATTAAAAAATAAAATTAGATATATAATAAAGTCTCTCTTCTACTATATCTATAGGTTCGCTAAAAGTCCTATTTCAGTAATATCCTGTAGAGGTGAGTACAGTCATTGAACACTTTTGCTTTCTTGCATACGTCTTGTTTGTGCTGTGTAGCTTCTGCTGTTTCCAAACACGAGTTACCGAAGTCGCTCACTAAGTTCCTCCGGTCTAACTGATGGGCTACTTGCACTCGTTTTCTGTAAATAATAATAAATTAATATTTCTACCTCATCAATTATCTTAGCTCACAGACATAGATCGAAATAGATAACGCAAGCGTATTGTAAGGAGGCCGGCACTGTTCGTCTTTAAAAAAAATCCTGAGCTACCCGGATGGATCGTTCTTTCTCGTTGCCGTAGTCTACTAATAATGTTAAGGACTGCGTTAATGCAACTCTGCAGTTTAATTCTATGGAAAGTTACAGTTATACACATTATTCTTGAATTAGCATTCTATGGTTGCTAAGTCGGGTTACAACAGTATGTACTTCGCGTGCCAAAAGTAAGACTAATTGTCTTCCATTTACGCTAATTTATTTCTTCGCGTCGCCGATCTCGATACCGGTCAATCGTTATGTTTTAAAAATATCTGACTATGTGATTAATTCTGGCAGGATTCTCTAAACTTAAAACTAAATTTAACATCAGTCTGTTCTTTTATCTGTATAGAGAATGACAAAGATACACTGTTGTCAAATTTAAGTTCAACTTTAGAGAATCATGCCAGAATCGACATCTATGGCATATTAAGCTGTATAAACGATGTAAATGAAACATATGACCGGGGCTCATGATTTTTCACCTATTTGTTCTCGCAAGTACTCAAAATGTGACAAGCTCGGTTTCCATACAATTTAAAGTAAGTTCGATGTAGTTCTGTGGATTAGCCCGACTAAAATAAGCATTGATAGAATACTTAAACTGATACATTTAATTATATATTAAGAAATACACATAAACATCCACGATTTAGGTACAAATGCTAGTATTCATCATACAAATATTTTCCCCACCAGAATTTGAACCCGGGAGTCTGAGTAGGTGACACCTTGAAACCCCGGAACCAGACGGAAGGAGGTCGTCTGAATACAGATTTATTTTTATTATACATTTTAGTAGAATAAATATTAGCCAGTGAATGTGGAAGTTCAGCAACTTTGCTGGTCATAGAATTGGTAACTCGAAATATATTCTGGCCGTAGCAGACATATCAATTCGGAAAGGGATCGTCACTGTATCACTTGAGCTGTTCAGTATTCTTTGTATGGAACTCCCTAGTGCAACGCACACTGATCGCAATCGTAACGTAATCACGTCTCCTTCTCTACGGACACGAGCTTCTCCGAGGTAAGGCCATTATGTTACGAGTTCCTCCGTGTCGGGTAGCGTTCCCAGCTGTATCTGCAGTAGTCAGCACCGATCACACAGGGGCCATAAAATTTGTAGAGTACAAATTGTGGATTACGTTCCGTTCTCCCTTATTCCAAATTATGTTCATGGTGATAATTTCAAGAAAAAATGGGGCATCGGATTTTCTAAATTTCTGGAATTAGTGCATCCACCTTTATAGGTACCTTTAATTTACATTTAAGACTATTGGTAGGTACATAATTTAATAGTTCTCTTAAAATGGTTTGCAGCAATTTGTTTGTCAAATTAACCTACTTAAAATTTAGAACCTAACGCAAAAAAGACAAAATAAAAAATTATTGAGTGCTTTATAAAATTTAGAAATCATAATATAAAATATGAAGGAAACGTGTTGTAGCACTTTTAATAATCAGTACCCCAAGCACGAACCAATATCAAATTCGAATTGTTCATTTTTTTTTCTTTTATGCAAAATAGGCAATGCATTTGACCACAATCTCACCTGATGGAAAGTGATGATGAGGCCTAGGATGGTACACGCCTGCCTAGAAGAAGCCTGTTCACTCTGGCCTTGAAGATGTCCAGATTATATTGGTCCGGGAAAACAGACCTCGGCAAGGAGTTCCACTCCCTAGCCGTTCGCATAATGAAGGCCGAAGCAAATCGCTTCGTGTGAATGGGAGGAACTTCGACAACATAAGGGTGGAAGCCCTCGCCGCGCCTGGTCGTCCGGTGGTGGAAAGGGGAAGGGGGGATCAAATTATGTAATACCTCCGCACACTCTCCGAAATGTAACCGATAAAACACCGAGAGGCAAGCTACACGTCTTCGGTGGTCAAGGCTCTGGAGATTAACCTCAATGAGAGCGTCATTGCCTATGAGTCTCCTCGCACGGTGTTCCACCGAGTCCAGTGCATCCAGCTGATACCGAGCAGATCCGTCCCAAAGGTGACAACAGTACTCCAAGCAGGAGCGAACTTGGGCTCGGTAAAGGTTAAGGAGCTGCTCAGATGTAAAATATCGCCTGACCTTAGAAAGTATTCCAAGTTTTCTGGCAGCGGTTTTAGCAATGGACTCGATGTAGCGACCGAAATTGAGGCTGGATGAGATGTCCATCAGAATGTTATTGTCAAATTTTGTATGGAAACTTGAACAGCAGTCTCATAACGGATGTAACGAGAACTAAAAATCAGTACACATTTGACAATGACATTTCGCACTCGCAAGCTATTCGGATTTGATATTGGTTCGTGCTAAGGGTACAAGATAGAAAAAAAATAGCTTTATGAAATCATGGCACTTGCGTTAGCTTTAAATGGGATCGTGGAAACAATTAAAGCTAGAAACTGGCTGCCATTTTGGAGTAATCTCTTACATCTTACCAGTTGTACCCATACTATAAAACTGAAAGTTTGTTTATTATAATCAGATGTAATTTGACACATATGGTTTATTGCTTAAATTAAGCTGTATGATATTTGGATTCCAATAAAATGCTTGATTGATGATTGATGATTGATTTTCTGCTGTGAGAATTCCTGTTTGAGTAGATACTGTGGTGCTCTATCCTGAAGAGATAGGCCTGCGAAATAATAATCACCAAATAATTATTATTTTATATTTTTGGATTTGTAGCGAATTACATTAAATCTGTATTATCAACTATTCGCTTTTGTGCCTGAACTCTATCTGCTGGAATCTTCGATAAGAGACAAAAGATTCCCAATTTCAAATCTTTAAAACAATGATATTTCCTTTTTAATATAACTGCCAGCCGCAGGCATTAGACTAACAAACAGTTTACACAAGCCAAGAGGCCGCAACGCAACGGGCGTTACAGTATATACATATTCGCTGCATTTGGCGAGACTTTTTATAGCGTTACTCAAACATATTTCTCATACTCGTTTCTCCAAAATAAATATGTACTTTCGGATAATTTGGTTCTTGACCCACCATAAGCTTAATATTCTTACAACCCTCGCAAAACAATAAAGTAGATATTCGCTTTAATCTATGTATCCCTGGAAACAAACTTGTTATTTTCTGAACAATATTATTTGACGTGACAGATTTTGTTGCCTCCGTGTGATATAATGATGACATTACATTACTTTGAAGTTTTGCCCATAGATTTATTTAGTTTACCTTAGTTTTTCTTTAATACCAAGAAATCAAATGTGTTTCTGTTACATTGTGTGTACACCAAGGAACTTATATACTAACTGGAATGCTTACGCGACCCTCAAAATCGTTCCAAGAGCATAGCTGAATTGGTGGAATCTGTCTCGTTCTAGTAGTGTGCCCAAACAGTTGCAAGAGAGGGACAGATTCCACTTTCGTCGTATCGCGCTAGGAGTATTTTTCCCCCTTATGAAGAAACAAAAATGGACTTTATGTATCACTAGTTAGACTACATTTTTTGAATCCCCATATTGTTTCGTAAGCATTCCAGTTAGAAGTTCCTTCGTGTACACGATCCATTGTTCATGTGAGTATCGAGTTTGAATTTCGCGCTCACCGTTTGCAATGACAGTTTCGTCAAACACGAAGGCGCCACCTACTGGTGGTCGCAAGCACATCGGTTTCCGTTAGAGAGCAAAAGAGTCATTCGAGCAACAAAGAAATTCAATTTTCGACCATCTGCATCCTCGATTCGCGTCCGTTGTCGAGGAAACCTGCTGCTCAACACTGACAAGTCTACGAGTTCCTCGAACAGCTACAGTGAGAAACCCGCGGACGGACACCAGATTCCACCAGTTTCACATCTTTCGTCACCTGGTGCCGCCGATGTCCAAGAAGCCGTCTACTTAGCTCAAGGTACGTGCTGCTTTATTCAGTGTTTGACGCCGTTATTGCAAACTTACGATTCTCGGTTGTTATTGACAAAACTCGGAATTAGTTCCTAGTGAAGTAATCTACCCGGGATGTATGGGACAGTCATCCACCTTCCCTCGGTCTCACACATTGTGTGTGCTTTCGAAATTTGAACTACTATTCCATTTTTTCTACCTACTATCTACTTTTACTACCTATAATAGTACCCAACAGAAATATTACTTGTTTTAAAAATTTTACGCGTTAAGCATAAGATATTCAAAAAAAGGGACGAAGAAGTTTTGCAGGGACTCACCCTGTGTCCATCAACGAAGTTGTGGATGATTTTAAAACGCTTTCACAACTCAATTAAAGCAAATTCAAAGATTGTTGGAGCAGTCACTTAAATATCAAAAGGATAAGAGTTCGGAAGCTGAGGTAGTAGAGTAGATTTATTCTGTCCCGTAAAAATAAAGTTATGATATAAAATTATAGCAATCTCTATAAACTGAAATAATTAATATAACAAAGGATGGTCTGTAAAGGTGGAAGTCGAGAAATTATCGCTATGGTTAGTCATTGGATGGGCTACCAAAATTGTTAAGTTTAAGAATCTTCTCCATGTTTTCAGGGGCATATTGAACTATTAGTTTCGCCTGCATCTGACTGTAGTCATTAGCATTATATAACACTTAGATAAAAACCTTTTGTTAACGCCCACCAACCACCAATACGCGCTACGTGCTGTGGTGGGACTTCACTTCCGTTCATATAGAAGGCCTTTGCTCTAGCCGTCGGGATATTAATATGCAATGAGAAGCTCGTTGACACAAGTGGTTAGCACATTCGGCTTGCGGTCGTGAAAGTTAAGCAACTTTCCTAATGGTCGGTTCACGGATGGGTAACCTAAATTTAATTGTATCGTGCTCCTTCGTGTTCCGGAACGCACGTTAAGCCTGTTCGCGAGAACCCCTTCGATAGCCCACGAGAACAAGTTGGTTTGGTCGCTGATCCTACCGCTTCTAATGGTAAAATTCAGGCACAGGATTCCCCACTACGAAGTAAACCACTCACCTTGACTTCGCCAGTATGAGCTCGTGCTGGAAGCGTTACGTGTCCACGTGGTCACCCACTCAGAGTCCTTATTGTGCACCAATTTCAAATACAGCTGTTCCACCAATATTATTTGATATACGAGACAACTTAAGCAGTTCACTTATAACTATTAATGATAATCCACCGAAAATCGATATTACGAAATATAGTCCCGCAACTCTTGTGTGCGCTCGCGCCGCCGTGAGAGGTAAAGTGGCAGTGACAGCAGCGCCCGTTACCGTTGAGTCGTGGATTTGTAGTTTACCCACATAATAAGAAATACCGTGCCTGAACAAAGCCATTAGTGGTACCACTCACCTGCACAGGGCTCGTGTGATGGGACATGGCCAAATCTACCTATTCCATCTTCAGGGAAGGCCTGTGCTCTAGAAGTCGTGACATTTACATGCCACTGATATTGTACCTGTATACATCTAAGTTGATCGCCCCGTTAGGGCTCATGATGCCGAGCTTCCTTAGCACGCAGAATATGATGCAGGATTCATCCGACTCCTGTACCACTACGTGCTTCCTAGGAAACATCTCGTTGAAGCACTGCTCAGCGACCACATCGCTCAACTTGTCGTGAGCATACATCACAGCTATGCGAGCGTTCGCTGACATTGCCGTAATAAGTAGGAGCAGAAGTGTACCTGAAACAATTGCAAAATTTTGTAGAATTTTCATGACAGAGTGAATATTTGTTAAGGGGTAGGAAGATGCAGTAACATTAACTTATTACTGGAGCTTCTGTGAATTCCTTATCAGTCTATTTATGTCTTCACCGTTGGAGCATATGAATGGTATAGGGAGAACTGGTCATGACCAATCTGGTCGTTGGGTCCACTGTCGTGACTGTCTAGTGCGTGAAGTGCTTTGACTTACTTTCGGAAACCCGGAGGAGTTCGAGATAATAATGGCTACTTTAAATAGTGCTCTCTTTCTGTAAAATGCGGACATGCCCAGTTTCTAGTTTCTCCAAAGTTAAAAAACCATGAAAAATACCTCAGAAATTTCAAAAATTGGATTTGATATAAAATTGGGACTCAGAAAAAATTTTTTTTCGATGTTTTAGGCTCTTGGGGCTCCCGACGCATGCTGCAGAAGGCTTAACGCGGGATTGGTCAAGAGCATGGCTCTATATGGAGCGTCAGTGTGGGCAGATACTCTGGTCACTGCAAGGTAAAACTAAGAAAACCCCAGCGAGCTGTGGCGTTTAGGGCAGCGAGGAGTTATAGCACGGCCTCATTTGAGGCGGCGAGTGCACCCTTGCTGCGATGCCCTGGAAGCCCAGGTCCTGGAAAAAGTGTACCGTGATAGGATCTCGGCAAGAGAGAGAGGGGAGAGGGCCACCGTTGAAGAAATGGTTAGGATTAGGAGGGAGCCAGAGGAGCTCACGATAGATTCTAGAAGGAGCGCTTGGCAGTGCCCATAGCAGGACGAGGGAGGTGATAAGACCGGTGCTGAAGGCTTGGGTGGAGAGGTAATAGATATTGAGTCAGAGTTTAACGGATGGCAGTTGCTGAATGGCTTACTAACAGAGCCACAGAGGCTACAGGGAGACACGAAGCAAGCTTTAGATTCCAAAGGTATGATAGTACACTATCAAGCTTTTTTTTAACAAAAATATAAACCCAGTTCTTGAAAATAAAACCTTCGCTTCTGCGAAATTCTGCTCTATGGCATTTATTATACATTAAGACAGAGGTTCGCCTTGGATCACATTTTCTAAGTGAAGAGACAGAGCGAGAGCAACTTTGCTTTATTATAAAGATTAGGGAAATATGTGTTTTCAGTGTTGGTAATATATAAACTATATATAATTAAAAAAAATACAAAAACAACATTTACTGGACTTGCTATCTGTATCACTTTAATATTATCTAACAAGAAACGTATAAGATGTTATCCATATTTATTCTATTACGTTTATTATAACTGACGTGGATATTTCCCGGTTAACTTACAAAGGAAATTCTGGATTATTATTATAACAATTGTTCGTTCGGATTAAGTATTTAGATAAGGTTTTATGGGTACACATTATTTGTATTGTCCTTCTTATGTACTCTTCTTCGGGATATAAAGATAAATCTCAAATGACATAATCAGAATGTCTAGACAAAAAGTATTTGACAAAACGTTCTAGATTAGAGAGATTTAGGCTAAGTGGGTAGATGATTTTCCACTCCAATTGTAGGATCCCTCTGGGGAGCAGTGCCTGTAGGTACACAATAGGCCACCTTTATTTTTGTTCAAAGACATCGCGATACATTTCAATGAATTGCACTTTATTTTATGTCTTCACGTTCGGGTATAAAATTAGATTTATTTCATTTTTACATTCGAAATTTTCCGATCCTTACATTTTTTTATAGCCCATTATTAATATTTCTCATCGCATTTTTTTTGTTGGTTCGTTCAAAGTTTTTATTTGAAAATACAGTTGGCTATGATTATTTGGTTATTAATTTAGAACTTTTTAGTTCATCAGTCCATAGGTATTGATGTTCTCACTGCTGAAACACAGGACTTCCATATGGACGAAATAAAGAGGACGGGACCCGAACCTTCGCGCCTGCCTAGCGTAGTGTTTTGGATCATGTTCTGTGAAGAAAGGCATTGGTAAATTCATGATATCACTAGCTGTGTTAATCCAGGGTGTCAGCTAACTCCATACCAAATTTTATCAAATTCGATAGAGTCGTTTAGACGTGAAGAAGTAACAAACATACACACCACACACTCCCAATCTTTCGCCTTTATAATATTAGTGTGATTTTCATCAATTTCCTTTTTAAAATGTTGGTGGAAATTGTGATATAATGTTACAAGTGGCCCGCCCTCGCTTCGCTTCGGTGTAGAGCTGTAGTGTAGACTATAGTTTTTGTTCTCAGGCTTGTATTATACAATATGACATTCTTCTAATATCTAATTACAATAGGCACATAGGCACGCGCCGCCAGCCCCCCCGCCCGGTAGCGTCGGAACCGCTATGTCCCTGCATTTTAAATCTGTAAGATCTTCGAAAATATTCATTTAAACTACATGCATTAAAGGGCCAAATTGGTCTATATTAAATGCACAATGTATTTAAGGTACTTAATTGGATAGGGATGAATGTTATATTGCTTCGTAAATAATCTATTATTTCTCGTAAATAGTATAGGATATAAAATGGTTATTGTGGGTTATCCCTAAGAGATAGACATATAATACCATCGCGGACTTTTATGTAGATCTTTTTTAGTTGTACAATACTGTAGTACGTTATTTTGATCTATCTTGTAGGATTCAGCCAGCGTTTGCAATGTAAGCGCAAAAAATGTGTTTATTTACGACCTTACATTAAAAACCTCTAAAATTATCAGTGTTTCTCTACTATATTATGCATGTATTATACATATAAACCTTACTCTTGAATCACTCTATCTATTAAAAAAAACAGCATCAAAATCAGTTGCGAAGTTTTAAAGATCTAAGCATACATAGGGACATAGGGACAGACAGCGGGAAGCGACTTTGCTTTATACATGTAGTGATTTAAAATAGGTGTAGCTGGATGCACTTTTTTTTATGGGATATTTTTTTAAATGGGAATAGTGCAATAAATAAGTTGGACTCAACCTCTTGATTAACTCCGTGTTTGTTAGTAAACTTTTGTTGTAGATAAAATGCGTTGCGGGAAGAAGACGTTGCCTCTTAAAGAACTAGTTATTTTTTTTTTCATTTTAAATGGTCTAAATTTGATCCTTATTCTTTCAGTAAAATTACCAATAAATGGATTGTAAGTTGCCGCGCGTAAATTAAAGAAATCGCTCAACTTCCTGTTGTTGCAGTTTTGTTTATAATGTCACTTCGACATACTGATATAATGCGTGATGTGAGCTTTGTTGACACGTCTTTGTTTACTGACATGATGATGTAGTATGTAGGTACGTATGGCGGGATCCTTTTCGCAATATTCACACGTTTGTATCGTAGATATAAAAGCCAAACTTTTGCATAACCACAAAAAATATTTAAGCTTTTACTAAGTACGTCTCGATTTCTTGTTGCCTCTAAACTATCTTACGTTACTGTACCAAATTCATCATCATCAGCTTATTAATATACATTGACCACGACCTATTGAAGGAACAGGGATATGAGGCCAAAACCCACCTTGAAGTCCAATGAGTTCACGACTGAGGATGCAGCCGGTACTCACGATTGAAGATGCAGCCGGGAGCAACGACTCAACGTGTTGGTATGGCATGACTAAAGCCATCCTGTCACGCAAAATAGGCATCTGGTGTCGAGTTGCGGAAAACGCCCACCGAACAGAAGAAGAAGAACGACTCAAAGTGCCTTCCGAAGCACGGAAGAGCTCGATCTTATAGGTTTTTGGTCACCCATCCAATGACCGGCCATTGCGTTATTACTAGTGATGGGACTCGTGTGATTTTTTTCACTTGAGTCACTCGGTACTGGTAACTATATCACTCGAATGCCACTCGAGTCATTTTTCCTGACGCGAGTCAATCGGAACATAAAACTCGATGACCAAAATTTTCGAACGCAAACACAAATGAATTTTCTTTACGCGAAGAACAGGCTTGTGACGAACTACATTCACCAATGCTATCCTTGTACTGAACTGGATGTTTATTTTTCATGTGAGAAATCAAGTTAGTTGTATTACCAAAACTGTAACTTTTTTTGCAAAACTTACAAATAACTGTTTTTTGTTCTAAATTTTTGTCAAAAAATTACACAACTGCATTTTTACACTTTACTCATTTTCACCACTTACTTAAAACACACAGTCATAATTTGGTTATTTATGGCATTAACAACTCGCACAAACATATTTCTATGTAATTTCAAAGAGAAACTAAAGCGGGTAAACTTGTCACAACTTGAATTTCTCACTCGGCTAAACCACTCGAGTAGTACGAGTCAACTCGAGTCACTCGTAATTCGAGTCGACTTGAGTCACTCGAAACTCGAGTTGTCAAAAATTTCACACGAGTGCGAGTAATATAAAAACTACTCGAGTCACTCGAGTGAAAAGCAACTCGAATCCCATCACTAGTTATTACTGTTGCCTTACTTTTACGATCGCAGATTGAACGCACTAACCACTTGCGCCATCGAGTTCCTCGAATCCAGAATACCAATCTATATAATTTTATATTATTTCTCATAAAGAGCAAAACGTCTATATATGAGAAACACCTGTAGACTACACAACTAGAGCTCGAGTAACTGTCGATAATTACGATTTATCGATAAAAAAAAGTTTCCGGGTGTGCTACGAAAAGTTATCGATGAAGTGTAAGCGAAGATGATAAATGGACATAGTTAGCGGTCCGGATCCGTCCAACCAACTTCGGTCAAACTCGATTATTGTCATCGAAACATTCTCTAACCTAAGGAAATGTTAATCCGATTATTCTCCTCTTGCTTCCATCTTTAACAGAACTTTGGCTTCTAGATACTGTCTATTTTTACGAGCTTAGGTAATCTCGTTACAGTTTCTGGCGACGTCCAATTATAAGATACAAATGTGAATATAATACAGTCACGTAATCCAACTAATATTATAAATGTGAAGTTTGTATGTTTCAATGTTTGTATGTTCGTTACGCAATCACGCAAAAACTACTGAACGGTTAAATGAAATTTGGCACACATATAGTACTGTACTTGATACTTTAGTATTTAAAAAAAAAAAAATAACCGTCATCTTTCATTTTCTCTATCGGTAGTTTTTCCCCACACCAGCGCGATGAAGCTTTGGTACTAAAATGCGCTAAAATTTTCGAAAAAGCTAAAGCTAAAGCGTTCGAAATTTGAATAATTTTCATTGTTAGCACGCTCTTTCAGCTGAACATACAAATTTATCGTCTCCCACTACCTCTTTTATACGTGTTAAGATTAGCCAGTCAAACCATGTTCTAGCGCATCCAGATAATTCGTTACGATGGAACAAAATTTTATTTGGTGGCCGGATTTCGACCGGAGATTCTTAGCACCCCGTACCCCGCCGTTACTAGGCCCGCCACCGTGAGTCCGTGACGGATCTTATAGGCATAAACACAACATTGTGTTTATGCCTTTGTTCATTTGGGGGGTTATTGCCATAATCGCCACGCTTGGCAGGCGGGTTGGCGATCGTAGTAGATGTAATGTTACTCAGGAGAACGTTGTTGCCCGTTCTCCTGGTGATCCCTTAGTCGCCTTTTACGGCACCCACGGGAAGAGATGGGGAGGTGCAATATTCTATGCCGGCACCCCACGGCCTCATAACAAAACTCAGAGTCGCGCAGCGTGCTATGGAGTTGGCTATGCTCGGTGTTTCCCTACGTGATAAGATCGGAGATCCGTTGTAGGACCGGTGTGTACGACAGAGCCCGAAGAGTTAGCACGCTGAAGTGGCAATGGGCAGGTCACATCGCTCGAGGATCTGACAACCGTTGGGTAAGAAACGTCCTCGAGTAGCGACCACGTACCGGACGACGCAGCGTGGGGCGGCCCCCAACAAGGTGGACTGACGACATCGTCAAATGTGCTGGGAGCCGCTGGATGCAGATAACGCAGGATCGCGCATTGTGGCGTTCTATGGGGGAGGCCTATGTCCAGCAGTGGACGGAGAAAGGCTGATGGATGGATGGTTGGAACAAAATTCAAAATTTGAACGCTAATTTTAATGTATTTTATACTAAGCTTCATCGCTCAAGTATTGAAGAAGCATTAAAGTAACTTACGCGGTGTTACACCATGTTTATATAAAAATAGTTCTAAAATTCATATCCACAAAGTTTTCGGAGTCACTACCATTTGAAAAGTAAACACGACGCTTTGAACGCGTAGTGTAAAAGTAAACAAGTTTCTGAAGAACCCTTAAAGCTACAAATATTGAAACATTGATGACGCTATGATTGATATTGAACAATATTTTCTCCGAAAGAAATACGTTTTTCTTCTAACATTACGATTTATAGAGAACATAAATCGTCAAATCTACGGAATGGAGAAACACGTCGTTTTGTACAGACAGATTGTCACGAATGTTTAATGTTGTACTATGTTTTCAACCTAAGTACTTACCTAAAAATATGTTTCACTACGGACATATGAAAGCGTTTTGGATAGAAGCCAAAGTTGAGATTCGTCTATAAATCATTTATTGATTGATGTTCAACTGTATAGTATCCGAAGAAGAAATTCGATGTAATTATTGACTATATTGCTAATTTGTAACAGATCATTTTATCAAATACTTTGAAGTAGTTAAGACTTCAATAAACTTCAAAGCTTAAGTTACCTTTGTTGTCTGATATTATCTGAATTTAATTACTTAACATGGATAGTCTATTTGTTGGAGGAATCTAATCACAATTAGAAACCTAGGTTTTATTTCAAAGAGAGATTTATTAAGACTAAGATAAAACGCCACTCAGGCTGCGGAGAAATATTAACCAATAGAATTGCGCAAAATCTCCGCTCCTCTTCAGTAGACAGATTTTATGGAATCGTATTGGTAAATATATCTCCGTTTCTCCGCTCCACAACCTTTCACCGCTCCGGTGGACCCGCAGCGTAAAGCTTACATATCATTTTACTAAAATAAAATAAAAATCGAGATTCTTTAATTTTTATTAAAAAGGATTTATGCAATGTTACAAAAAGTAAAAAAAAAAATCAGATTCAAAATTAGAACTACCAACTGTCCAACTCCTTGAACGATATGGCATACAGTTGGGTGCAGTCGTTGAACACCTTCGCCTTTTTGCAGACGTCATGGTCCAAATTCATGCTGTTGATGTTTTGCGCGCAAGTATCCCCAACATCGGATACTAGTATCCGTGGATCGTATCTGTGTATCGACTGCACTCGCTTATAATAATTGCCGATATTGATGTATCCGTCGTTTGTCATTATACCGAACTTTTTCAGGACGCAGTGGATGATGCATGGTATATCGTTCCTGTCTACATGCAAAGGGTACTTGTAAAGGTTCCTTGGGTACATTTCTGTTAAGCATTCGTTAGTCACAACGTCACTTCTCTTGTCCCGGGCGTATAGAATCGATATCGAAGGTTCCGAGTCCAAGCTTTCCGACAAGAATTTCGTTTGCAATCCTTTTATGAATAACGTTAGAGGAAGTAAGATGATGAGTATTTCTGAAAAGAATTTCAATTGTAACACACATTTATACCGGAGCGGACACATTACGGATTCCGCTTAACTGGCTACGATGAAGTCACTATACAAGCGTTTCCACTTGAAAAGAGTAAATTCAGCGTTATTTCCTAGTGAAAGGGAATACCTCTTTCTCAGTTCCGCTGAGATATTTTCCGCTTTTTTTTCTTTCTTAGTGAAAGACACGAATTAACGGGGTGCTCACAAAAAAATTACTAGCAGAGAACTTATTTGGATATAACTTATATTCCCACCCAAATGAATAATTTAAGAAAGCACTTTATGTTAATATAAAGCGTGTTAATAGAATTTATGATCGCACTTCATACTCGTTAAAGTGTTTTAATTAATTACAAGCTTTTATCGCCCAGTCCACATTTGTCCATTGCTGTCAATAAAGTTGAATAATATACATTGTCAGATTCTAGCCAGGTAATGAATAATTTTGTCGATTGCACATTAATATATAAAAATTTTTTGAGATACAAAACGTATAATACAGGCCAGGTACCTCCTATACTTAGTTGATGTTACTCTGGCTTATTAATAGTGATTTATCGACTAATTGTATTGTATTGACTAGATTTTTGCTGCTGCTCGTACTGTCATATGTTTTTGTGTCGCTTTGTTTTGTTTTGTATAAATGATGAAAATTGTAGACGAAAATATTTTATTTCAACTACGCGATGCCGAAGACGCCATTAAACTTCAATCGGAAATTCGATATTTTGCTTTGAAGTTAAATTGTCTAATGGGGTTTATTTTTATCGGAGGCTTTCTTTTGGATTTTTTTTTAGAAAAACAAACTATTTGTATTACCATATTTGTTTCAGAATTTGTTTGTAGGTTAACATAAATTGAAGATACTTAATAATAATACTATTATGTTATCGGGGCTATCTCCCTATTCAATCCATAGGAAAGGCCTGTGCCCCAACAGTGGGGGCATTATTATATATAAGTTTTGCAATACTTTATAGAAGGTTATTAGAGGCAAAATTAAGCAATGCATGTAAAAGTTAACCTTGAAGAAGTCGCGGGCGGAAGCTGGTTTTTGTTAATCTTTTGAAAAAAAATCGATTGATATAACTTTTAATTCTTATTATACGACACGTGCTCCATTTATAGCACAGTTGCTTAAATAACTTTCGTAATGGTTGATTGGATGGATGACGGATAATTTACCAAATAAGGCTAAGGCCACACTAATAAAAAGCCTTGCTTAATTTTTTTTAAGTTAAAAGGGTGGCAAACAAACGTATGTCCCGCCTGATGGTCAATGCGGCCACCATTATCTATAGACGCTTGCGATACCAAAAATATCACTCGCATTATTGCATACCCTGACCCAATCCCCTACCTCATGGAACCTTAGAACCTTTCTCGCTGATAGAAACATAACAGCACTAAAAGGTACAGGTCGCGCCACGTAATTCTAGAGCTGACTGTAGGCCTAGGCACGTCTTAGACTACCCCGACGACGAAATCACCCGCGCCAACGCGCCTCCGATTCCTCCCACACAGGCCTTTGTGGCCTCCACCAACACTACACAGCTAGCAAACTTGCACACTAGCTTAGCATTAGGCAGACACCGCACCCGTGGGATAAGAGTGCGAAGACCCGGTCTACACACGACACGCTATACCAGGTATAGGTACGCACCTGGGCGTTTTCCCCCGCCCCCCATGTCAACGGCTGACTAGAGCCGAGGTCCGAGTCTCAGAGACGCCCTCTAGTTGAGCCGACCCTCTCAGGTTCGAGTGGTCTAGAGGCTCCAGACGGGGGGAGACGCCCCCTGACCCCCCTCCCCCCCGCCTGGAATACCTCTAGAGGCACTCGCCAATTCTCGGCTTGAGGTCCCCTTAGGATCTCGCCGTCCCTAAACCCGGTGACGCTGCAAAGGTCATCTGCGACCAACAGTATACACACTCAAAAGAACTCAAAAAAAAATTGTGTGTGTCAGCTCCGACGCACGACTGGAGTTTACTCCTTAAGTTCGATAGTCTAACCAGACGCAAAAAGAGTTTTAATTTAACTTAAAAAAGATTGATACTGTATGAAAGGGTAAATTAACAAATTAATGAAAATAATATACATATATAAATATATATTTATTCATTTCATATACATTTATTATAACTAATCGACGAAATATTTTACATTAAACTTTTTACAATAGTCAATTTCAGATGTGCATGAATATATCAATAGGAATGTTGATAAATTATGAAATTATTATTATCAGAATATTATCATTTTTTAAATATTAATTAAATCAACATTGTCTGCATTATTAATTACAGTGACAAGTGGTTTATGATAACTAAAATAAGACACATGGACGTTCGTAGATACGTGGTTCACGAATCTTGAAAATACCGCATCAATGGTTGTACCATACCTCGTTGTCCCCATTGCTCTATCAGAAACAATATCTAAATTCAGTTCAGATTTAAAAAAAAATATTAATGTCAATCCGTCATCTTTGTTTGTCAAAGTTGCGCGACGTAGGATGCGCACCAAAAACGTAACGAGGTCATTTATCGATAGATTTTACTCCTCACATTTTTCTCATACCGGGCCCCTTATATATGCAAATCGATTCTTAAAGGAGTAAACTCCAAAAAATCTTGAGCTAAACAAAACGAACACACAAGACTGGAGAGCCAATTGGCGCAACGTTTACTTAATATTTACTTCTGCGCAATAACGGACTAGAGTTTCGTGACGTGACTTATAGTGTTATTTTACTGTGATCTCCTGGTTATTCTCCTGGTGACTGTCCTACCTCTCTTACCAACTACATATTATTAAAGAGGGTTACAGGCGCAAGCGTAACTTAGTTTGTGATTAGTATTGCTACTAATTGGCTTTATTTGGTACTATAAGCTCAGCACATAATATAGTGTAACTTTATTCCAACCCCTCCGTATTTTAAAAAATCGTTAATTCTTGGATATAGATTTAAGCTTTGCCAATTAAAATGTATTGGTTTTATAGAATACACGCATCGTACGAAACGAAAGAAAAACTTCGATAAAATATATAATTTACATCGTAGATAAAAAATACCTCGTATGATTTATGATACATACTTTGATTACAATCCTATCGGTAAGGCGCATAACACACTGCGTTTTCTGCCAAGCCAAATAATATTTAACTCACGATTTTATATTATATTTTTTGTTCTTATTATACACTTATTTCATTTTCCATCCTGGGTTGCCTAGAAGGATTATGTAATGTCTTTCTGTCAGTGTAATTTAACTTTTATGAACTTTGTGGTGTTGTACAATACAGAATATTATTATATATATATGATTAATTGAATTTTAATAAAAAATACTGAGGCTCACTTGCACCAAAGTCCTTATTCAAATTAAGCCTTAATCATGTATTATAATCAACATTCCATCTTTGTCAATTGCTTAAAGTCAAAAAGAGATAGAATAAGGCTTAAATGATTAGCTTTTACTTTTGAATTAAGAACTTTGGTGCAAATAGTCCATAGTGGTTTAAGATTTATACTTATAGTTGTGGATTAGAGAACCGATGGCTTGGATGGATTTATTTCATTAAGTTAATTTTCTATAAACGAGCTTTTGAATAAATTATTAGAAGTTTCAATGAAACATATTGACACTACTTGTCTTGTCCTCTATGTATTTAAAGCCATTTGAGTGATCAAATTTAGCTTTGCTAGCCTCTTTTTATAATATTAGTTTAACAAATTACATATAATATTAGTTACTGAATGTACCTGCGAGAGACAGAAATTCAGTCAGAAAGACATTCAGTCTTTGAAAGAATTTTGATTGCCTTGCTTTTTAGTTTTATTACTATTAAATAAAACTAGTTTTATTTAATGAGATGAGATGAACATGCATTAGGGGGACCAAACCATTACATTAGATTTGATAAACCACAGATCCTTGTAACTGAGCAACGATTCATTCCTAAAATGATACGCGAGGCTTTTGAGATTAAAACTAGTTAACTAGTTTAATAAAACCAGTTTTATTGTATATATGTGCGTGAAAATCTACGAAACAAATATTTATTGCTATTATTTATTCAGCATAGAATCGTGTGTTACAAGCCTTAGAATTTGAAATTTAAATAACTTACTTTCCATTTTCTTTTATTTATTTTTTCACAGTCGAAATCACGTTTAACCTTTTGAGTATTTATTACATAACCATGTTCACACGAACGAACCCTGGATGGTCTAATACGGTACTGATTAATCGCTATGTGATTTCCTCTCGATATCCCTGTAAACGAAATGTTTCTACACAACAGATTTGTATGTTATATATACTGTGGGGTTATGGTACAACAATCAGTCATTGTTCTCGAACTAAACGCGATAAGATTTAGGAAAATATTACGTGCGAAAATCGAAGTTTGGTGTCGTAAGTATAGGTGTATTACAATGATTTTTTTTCGCACTTTTACGTAATTTTGTAATTTCCAAAAAGAACGCGTAAGATCCATTAAGAGTTTCATGCTTATCACTTAAAAGGTTAAAAGAGTGTTGACCATATCATTGTGAGACAAGTAAATAAATAAAATTAAGTTATAATTTTTAAATATATCTATAATTGCTATTTCTTCGTTCAAATGTTTAAATACTTAAAATTTTTCTATAATGTGAAGAGAGAAGAGAGATGGCGCTGTTTTGCAGTTTAGGAATGGCTAGAAGAATTTCGACGCGGCCAACAGGGCCGCGGTAGCATAATTGGTCAGTGCATTCGCCCGGATAGCGAAGGGTGCGGGTTCGAGTTCGTTTGTTGCCTGGCCCGCGTGGAATTTCTTCTAGTTATACTTTCTTTAGAATAAAATTAAGGTTCACTTCTAGCAATATTGTTACATGTACCATAACCTATAGACACTTGCGATACCAAAAATATCACTGGCACCGTTACCTACCCTCACCTAATCCCCAGCCCGTGGAGCCTTGGAACCTTGCTCATCGACAGAAACACAACACCACCAA